ATCCTAATTATATTTTAGATTTTTTATATTTAAAATGAGATGTTTATTCTGTATTTGATTGTGTTTATCTGCAGTTAGTTACACGAATTCAGTTATGGGATGAAATCGGATAGGGATGAAATTGTTTAGGGATGAATGGGTTTAAGAGTTTTAAGAGTTTAAGAGTTTTTAAGAGTTTTAGTCAAATACTTTATAATATAGTATATATATATATATATATATATATATATATATAATGTTGGGTTCCGGTGAGAAGAGGAGTTGAGGTGAGAAGTGTAAGAAATGATCTTCACCCTTGAATGTATATTAATGCACTGAGATGCACCAGATCGATCCTCTTATCAAACGCGATTCATGGGTGATTTTGAGATTAAAAGTAACCAAAGATTCAGATCTCTTCTCACGTTAACTCTCTTTCTCACACGATTCTTCATGTATATATATATATATATATATATTAATTATAGGAGTGTATAAAATAAAGTAGTTGTAGAATAAGTGTATTTATTGGATGGCATGGTTAGGTGGTGGGTTAATGGTTTTAAAATATGTGACAGGCTCGTGCTAATGAGTTGGAGCACGAAGTATTGAGATTAACAAAAGAGAATGCCAAACTCAAAAGGCTCCAAAAAGAGGTATTTTTTGTATTCTTAATTTTATACATTTCTTAATTATAATTAAAATCATTAAATAAATAATTTTATTAATGAAGTACACTTATTGATGCATATTACTTAAAATTCAAGATTACAAGTAATTTTGCATAAGTACAACTTATTAAAGCGTTATTTTTTGAATTTGTGTAACGAACTACAGATAAACATAATCAAATACAGGATAAACTTTTATTTAAATATAGAAAATCCAAAATATAAATAAGATAATCATTGAACTTTAACAGAATGTTTAATTATTATTTTTATAAAAAATTATATTATTAAATAAAAATAAATTACTTTGTTATTAAATTATAAAAAAATTGAATTAAAGAAATTACGCTAAAAACAAGAACTATTAAATAGTTAATTTGATACTAATATTTGTTATTTTCAAAATTTATATTTCATTCAAAAATAAAAATTTTATCGTTTTCTCAAAACCACATAAAATCGTATTATATCGATAGAGACAGAATAAAAACTAAACATTAAAATCGAGATTTATCTCGTTGCATTGCACGAGTACGGAGTACCGTTCTAGTGTGTATGTGTGTGTGTGTGTGTATATATATATATATATATATA